TCTCTCTCTCTCTCTCTCTCTCTCTCTCTCTCTCTCTCTCTCTCTCTCTCTCTCTCTCTCTCTCTCTCTTCCCCCTTAGAGTCAATCGAGCTATAACTCCATCCATCGTCGATGGTGCCTCGCGGTGCACGGTAACCCGGTAATAGGAACTCGCTTGTTCGTTCTCTCTTACGTTGTATTATATCTATCGCACTCTACACGAAAGAGCCATATACTCGTGTTTGGAGCGAGAGAGAAAGAGAGATAGGGGAAAAAATTGCTGGAAAGTGCAAGGAGTGCAGATATATATCCGTTAAGTTCTCTCCTTTTGATCGCATTGTGATACGCCTCTTGGGCTTGAGATGAGATACTTGCGAAACGCAAAACGTCAGGAAGAAAAGAGAGGAGAGAAATCGTCGAGAACAATGTAAGAAGTACGACGTAGCATCTTCGAGGCCGTTTTCTTCGATTGCTCTGAAGTGAACGCATGAAACTCGAGCGGCGGAGCAATCGACCAATGACAATCGAGAGTTATCGAGAACGTAAGACTGCCATTTTGAAATTCTCGAGTGTGATTGGTCGACTCGCGCGCTGTTCAAGTTGCTGCACTCGAGACGAAATGAGTGCGCGCTCGGACGTCCGCCTAGGTGCAAGTAGGTCGACCTGAAAAGCGTGCCTTTTTGCTAGACGATTTCTAAGACTTCCATGAAGTCGATGAAAGGTGATCGTCCTTGGCCCTATAACGTCGCGTTCGTCGGCGATATATATATATATATTTATCTTGTGTATTATCGCTGTTACGAAATTATCTGATTACTTCGAATTAGAACATGTCTCTTCCGTCTTACCCGTTCTTTTTTTTCCGTAGACATTTCTGGCCCGATCGGACCGCACGAAGAGCGGCGACATCAGTCTGGCCGAATTCATACATTATGTGCGAGAACACGAGAAAAATCTGCGACTGCAGTTTTCCGATCTCGACAAAAATCGAGACGGTGAGTACTATTATTTTGTAACGAGTTTAATACGCATTTAACGCAGTGAATAACTTTATTCAATTACATTAATGTGCATTAAAAGCGCGTTACACGCATATTAGGGTAGGGAGATAGTAAAAGGAAAAACAATTTGTAAAGATAATTGACTGTATCCCACACAGGAAATTATGCAGCAATATCAGAGACAGGGAAGTTCCCTTATAGAAATATCATACTAAGAATCATTGATAATTACTTATTTTCAGTATTAAAAATACTGGATAATAAGTAATTATCAATGATTCTTAGTATGATATTTCTATAAGGGTTTGCTTTCTTTTTTCCTTCCAACAGTATGTCATTTGATGTTTGTATTTTCTTTATTTTAGGCAAGATCGACTTGGAGGAATTGATAAACTCTTTTAAGGAGTTGGGCCTCGAGGTCTCACGGGAGGAAGCGACGAAATTGTTGCAACGGTAAATGTCACCTGTTAATTATCGATCAATCTTACGATGATAATAATAATAAACAACTTTATAAAGTTATTTCAATTCTTTAAATTTGGTTCTCTTAGACCAATATTCATAGTTTGATCTTATATTTAAGACTGTCTTAAGTTTACCTTCAGATACTCCATAACCATAATGAAATGATCTGTATATTATCTGAAGGTAATCTTAAGACGGTCTTAAATGTAAGATCTTAAATGTAAGATCTGACTATAAATACCAGTCTTAATCCTCGTTCTTTTTTTCATTAATGAAGATCCAAAGTGGGACTGAATTTGGACTATAAAGATTTTAATTCCATTATTTATCGAGTATATATATATAAATTAATTTTTTTTTATTATCATATTTACAATTTATATCTGTGCTTAGGTTCTCATTAGGCCTGTTTCATACATTTTAACACATCATAGAGCCTCTACGTACAAATTTTTTATTTTTTCTTTATAAAAAATCAATTTTCAAGGTGTTATTCTTCACAGCATGGACCAGGATGGCAGTCTGAACATCAGTTTCGACGAATGGCGGGACTTCCTTCTGTATGCGCCGAGCACCACTCTGCGCGATATCATCGAGTATTGGCATCATACTACGGTGAGACGCTGCTGCGAGATATATATGGAAAAATTTGATTGGACCAGTTGTCACTTTAGAACGCAAATAGGTTTAAAGTCTCGGGGCTTTACGCGAACGAATCTGAATATAGGCCTCGGTCGGAGTCGACTTTGACCGCGCGCGCATACGCTCATACGCTCAACTGATGACGCGTGCTCGCGCTTGCTCTCTCCCCCCTTAGGATAATGAGCGAGGGGTTTAGCGGGGAAGGGAGGACAAGATACGGAAAACGCGTGTAAAACCATAGCAGCAGGAAGGGAGGGCGGCACAGCAGGCATTCCCGTCTTGGAGAAGAGTGGGGGAAGCCGGTATCTCCGGGTTCATGCTCCCTCAAGAGAGAGAGTTCGAGTCAGTCTTGTGATCAGACTCCGAGCGTTCGTAGCTCGTTCTTCTTCATCTTCCTCTACAAATGAACGGACAAGCGAGCGAATCAAAGTTGCAATAGTTGTCTCATCTCTCTAATCGTTTCAAGATCGATTGTTCTCGACACTTTCTGATATCTAATTCGTCGAGATCTTTTTGTCTACTTTGTTCTCCCACGACGTTAGGTTAACTTTCGTCAGTTTCATCAAGTTTCGCTTTTTGGCGACCTTCAGAGCTAGCTGCTTTAACATAGCAGCTACGGATTAAGAGTTGCACGAAGAGGAGAAAGAGAGAGAGACAGAGAACGAAAAATCGTATAATTTCGATCTCTCGTTGATACGAGATAGAAAGTGCGAAAGTTCTCGCGAAAGTTTGATCGGCAATTTCACAACGTGTCCAGCGAGTGAGCGAGTAAGCGAGCGAGTGAGCGAGCGCGGTAATCGTCAGAGTAAGTTAAAGAAAGAAAGGCAGAGAAAGAGAGAGAGAGGTGAGTGTCTCGTGCACAAGCGACGTGATTATTCCAAGCATGCACACCCTGAGGAGGCCCGAAATTCTACAGTACGAAGGTGGCATCATGTCTGGTTATCAAGTGTGCGGCGATTTCCGGCGAGTCTATCATGAATTACTGCAACGGGTATGTGAGTGGACCCTCGTGGCACGGCTCAAGGCCGCCACGAAATCAACCTTTCGCTAACCTCACATTAACTCAGGATCGCTCTCACCTTTATTTTCCTGCTGCATTTTGGAGGGCGGGGCACTTTGAATTTCTCAATCAGTCTGATTGGAATTCTATTTGTCGTTTTTCCGCATGTTCACTTCAACCATCTTGGTAGTTCGTTATTGCACAAATAAAATATTACGCTTACAAAATTGAGCATGGTATGTACATAACAGGCATATCGCTAATACCACATGGCGAAACGTAAAACGCGATCTTAAAGAATCATTGCGAAAGATTGCGTTATACTTTGTTGAATTGGGTGAGCACTCCTGAGTTAATGAACTCCTGAGTTAATGAACTTCTCAATAATCTTTGCAATAAGTTTACTTCTAATTAGTCTTAACGTACATACATATCATTAATGTATATGCATAATGTAAAAATGTCGATACTGTAGCATATATAAACTGTTTTTTCGCTCTTCACAAACACGTATACGTTTGAGCTTTTCATTTAAACGTTTTGCGTTTGGAAATATAAACGAGAGAAGCTTCGTCTCTCGATCGGTTATATTCAACTTGAATATGCACACGGAGGTAGAAGATTGCGAAAAAATATACGAGAGACAGGAACAAAAAAGCGATTGTATTCAGTAAGAAAATCTAACAAAAGTGATAAAGGAGAGGTCAGGTCAGGTTTGGTTGGAAGGAGAACCTAGGCCAGGTCAGGTCAGGTTTGGTGTCGAAACCATGTGACTGTAAGAAAAAGTGATTGTACAGGTGTCGTCGCGTAAAGATAGATGCTGGTGAAGTGAAAGCGACGAATGCGTCTTTCAGGAATTCGAATAATTCTTGTAACGGGTGTCCCTCGCGTAATCGCGGTGCAGTAATAGATCCCTCGTGAAATTTTTGGCGCGGATCCTCGCCGTCGGCGATTTTATTTCCTCGATATCTCCGTCGTTTATCCAATTCCGGGATGTCGGCCGAAGAGCAAGCAGCTCTTCTATTCGTATCTGGCACATCGCCCGGGCGGAACGGGACGAAAGGAAGCTCTCTTCGGCTGCGCCCGAGCAAGTTCTGTCCGTCGCGGGCGTCGCGACTGTCGTCTTATCAACATGTTTTGCGACTCCTTGGGGCATTTGCAATCTGTCCTTGTCTCGTGTCATGTGTCGCAGACGCGAACCACGGTGTCTACGCTTAATAGTCCTCCCGCGAACACGCCAGACGTCAGTGATTTTGCGATAGCGTTATTACGTCACGCGATACGTAATGTCTGTCGGCCACACATCTTGCAACTTATATAAAAAAATAGTTTCAAGCAAGGAATTCAAGAATTGAAATCACTTTTATATAATACTCACATATACATATATATGTATATATATACATATCCAAACGCGCTTGTTTTCCAAAAAATTAGTATGTCTTTTTCTTTTTCACTTATTTTTGTAATACGATTTTTGTAATACATTTTTGATGACTTTTATTAAGTTGTTTATCGTATCCGGTCGAGCCATTACTCTTAGCGACATACCTACTGACATTTTATCGCGATCGATAGTCAAGCGATCCATGACGCATACACAGGGTGTCCGATATTTCATGAGACGGAATCCTCGTTCTTATCGCGTTGTACTATCGATCAGCCGTTCATGCGACCGTTTGCTCGGACATATCGAAGGTCATAAAGATTTTGCGACAGCCGATAAGCGGAAATATTACCGAAAGTAGCAATTTCCGCTAAAAAGAAAGATTAATGACGGCATGAATGAGATCACAATCTGGCGATATATAGTCATACGTGCAGCGATAACGAGAAACCGCTCTCACATTGTTTTCACTCGTGCGAATTAGTCTATACGACTGTAATTTTATCTGTTATACACCGAGTGTGCTGAGATAAATGTAACAGCAGCGTAAAAATATTACGGAGTATTCAGGTATACACATGATAGATATAAGTTTTCCTCTCGAAGCGTTTAAAAATATAACTATATCTTGTTTTTTCCTTTTTTACAGTATATGGATATCGGCGAGGATATTGGGGTTCCCGAGGATTTTACAAAGAGCGAGATGAACTCGGGAACGTGGTGGCGTCATTTGGTGTCCGGTGGCATCGCCGGTACTGTTTCGCGTACCTGCACCGCTCCTTTAGATCGCATCAAGGTCTACCTGCAGGTAAGTCTTCGATCGTTCAATTAGAGCCATTAAAATTTAATCTTAATCTTAATTTAATCCGATTGAGTTTGCTTTGCCAAGTGTTCATACGCATACCATGTGTGATTAGATCTAATACATATATTATTATATAGATAACAGAGATATATAATAATAGAAATATTATTTTTTAGAAATTATTGTGTTATGTTTTAGTAATAATAATAGTGATAATAATAGAATTATGTTATATGATTACTTCATGTGCTTCTCATATATACTTTATTCATGTGCTACGTCGCAATCTAACGAGAGCGAAAGCGCGGTAAAGAAGTAGATATTGAGCGAGTTATGAGAGTGTATAGTTTGGTTTGATACAAGAACGGAGAACGTACGATATGCACGGTTGCAGGTCCACGGCACACGACACTGCAATATCATGAGTTGCTTCAGGTACATGGTGCGCGAGGGCGGCCTGCGCAGTCTGTGGCGTGGTAACGGCATTAACGTGCTCAAGATCGCGCCGGAGTCAGCGCTCAAGTTCATGGCATACGACCAGTTGAAAAAGGCCATCAAGGGAACAGACGAAAAATGCGAACTTGGTTTATTCGAGCGCTTCTGTGCAGGGTCCTGCGCCGGCGGTATTAGTCAGACTGTCGTTTACCCCCTCGAGGTAAGTCCCTCCGTCTATGCCGTCCGTTCATGCTGTAAAAGAATACAGTTGCATGTAACGTGATACGATTTAATTTTGCAGGTGCTGAAAACTAGACTGGCGTTGCGGAAAACGGGCGAATATAGCGGAATGATCGACGCGATCAGAAAGATATATAGACAAGGTGGTATATCGTCCTTCTACAGAGGCTACATTCCTAATCTGATCGGGATAATTCCGTACGCGGGCATCGATCTTGCCGTTTACGAGGTAAGTCCAATAACGTATCGCGTATCGCAATAACGTATTTGTTCTTCGATTCAGACAAGTACCATAAACTACAGAGATTTATAATCTATTCTTTAAAAGACTTGTAAAAAAGATTTGTAATCTATTCTTTAAATTTCTCTCGCAGACGTTGAAGAATAGCATTGTTATACATAAACCGCTATCTATCTATGACAAGAAAGAGAAACCGGCGTTTTGGATCCTATTGTTATGTGGCACTATGTCGAGCACGGCGGGTCAAGTGTGCTCGTATCCACTCGCGTTAGTGCGTACACGTTTGCAAGCGGAAATCGTACCCGTACCCGGCACACCTCAAACTATGATCAGCATGTTCAAAGATATCATCAGTCGAGAGGGCCTGCGCGGCCTTTATCGCGGTATTACACCCAACTTTCTCAAGGTAACTATCGTTATTTTCTTCAGTTTCGCCAGTCTGATCCACCCTGCCATCTCCGGCATCTGCAGAATGTGAGAGAAAATGTCGGATATTATCTCTCCTCTGATATAGATATCCGTATAAATAACGTCACGGAATCTAAATCTAATCTGAACTAAAATTAAACTTTCCGTGCAGTCAAATTAAAGTAAGATCCAGTAATATCCACGTATATTTTACTTTATGAAATAATATGTGTCTTTGTTTCTCTTACACAGGTTGCACCCTCAGTTTCGATTAGCTATGTGGTGTACGAGCACTTCCGACATGCATTGGGCGTCAACATGACGTGATAAACATGCACACTAGGCCATTTTTATTAATTAACTCAATTAATTTATTTCCTTTCTCTCTTTGTATCTATCTCTCTTTCGCTCTTCACTTATCACTCACGGTGATAAATAAATGAGGAAGCGCGTTCGCTCGATCGTTGATTCATTTCTCGTTGAAGATGAGAAAAAATAGAACATGATGCAAGTCATTGCTGATGAAGATGACGATGTTATGAAGAAGAAAATAATAGTGGCGCTTATTTATTATTAAGTGTTAATTCTCGAAGCATCGTATTCTTCGAGTCACATGATCCTAGAATGAGGAAGAAAGGCCAGTTCTCGATTATCACAATTTAGTAAAGAAACATGTCCTAACTTTAACGGCAACGTTCGAGTCGTCGACAGAGACATTTAAATTATACGCTAATTATGAAATTAGCAAAAAGTTTTATACATTCCATCTTTATTTTGGGAGATAAAATAAGAAATAATAGAAAAATTTGAATTAATAGTAAAATTATTCCTAAACTTAGCAATATTCTTGTATGTCAAAAATTGCGCCAAAAATAATTGTCTCCATCGACTCGAATATTGTCGAAAACACGTTCCGCTACGCTACACGTAAAAATGCAATGCAATGTGATGTGACACGATATGATGTGACGTAATGCAATGTTTTGACCGACCTGAAACAGCGTGAGATTTCGTTACGATTGCGGTTTCTTGTTTCAAAGCTGGAAGATAGCAAGTTTAATACTGACACTGTGATACGTATATTATAACTGTATGAACCAGATAATTTAAATTTTTTTTGTATGCTTTCTCTCAGCACGTCGTTTTGTTTGTTTTCCTTTTATGCCCAATATCTTGTGAACGAGACGAGAAAGTAGCGAGCAAAATTATATTTAGAAATCGTATAAAATTTTTTTTACGTATTTTATTTTTCTTTAAAGGAAAGCTACTGGTACACGGAATATAAGCATGGAATTCAAATAGAAGAGAGATTCGTTAAATTAAACATAGAATCAAGTCAAGTCTGAAAAGTTTCGAATTTTTTAAATTAATGACTATTACTAATTTTCGTGAATGTACGTAAAGATTCATTGAAACAGAATAAATATGAAACCTTGAAATTAAATTAAATCCAACAGATTATCGGAATTTTTTAGACAGAACAGTCACAATTTACTACCTGTTTAAATAGTTTAAATTGCGTGAAACTTTAGTATCCGCATTTTTATTACGATTTTATGTAGATGATTGTACACACTCTCTATCATAGTCTTGAAAGTATCAAAGAAATTTTTCTCGGAGAAAATTAGACTTTTCTGTATATATTACGAAAAATTAATAATAGATTTTTATAAATATACTTACGAATTTTAGAAATATGGATGTGACGTGCAAGTGTGGCATGTGCGAGTGTATGTACGTACATATATATGTACATATACATACATATGTATATATGTGTCTATAGTACGGACTAAAGATACATGAGAGATGTATACAGAAAAATATTAATTTATGTATTTATGAATTTCTACGAATTCACGTAAACACTCTCAATTTAGTTTTGAGATTTCGAGTTTTCTCTGAGAAAAAGGAAACGGCATCGTACATTGTTCTCTAAAAGAGAAAAATATATCTCTATTATTGATTCACGATTATTGTCGAGACACCGTGTATATAATAAAATAAGGTTCTTGACGTGTACACGGTAACAGGACTGAATAGATTAGCGTTAATAAAGAACACCGTGTATATATACGATCGACGAAGCTTGGAAATTATCCCTTGACCTCGATATAGCGCTTCGATACTCTGAGTGCATATATTATATTATTATTAATATTATTATTTAATAAGTATAATATTTAGGAGCAGAATTCTTTTCTTAAATAAAGACATTCTTGAATGCTATCTTTCTTGTGGATCACTTTTCTATATAAGATTTATAGAAGAGGATTCCAGTATTATAATAAAGTTCTCAATGGCTTGGGCTATGTATGTGTGTATATATGTGTGTATAAATTTGTAAAGTGTATAATTACACACACATATACGCGCGCATAATGTTCTGTTTTAATCTATTAAATACTTATATATCCCGGAAAATTGCTCATGTATGTGGTGCGTACACACGACTACAACTGGCATTATATCTTACATCAACGACAATTTTACTTACATAAAGTTACACAAATTCCCCCGGTACTTATTCCAGATAAAACATTGCGAGGAAAAATAAATATGATATTAAAATTATAAAATAATATAATTATAATATTTCATTTCAATTACCTTGAAGCCTGTTCTGTCTAAATCTTAATTTTTTTATAATATAATTTAATGCCAGGTCAAACATTTATTTTTTAACAAAAAAGATACGAAAGTTTATACGAATACCTTGGTCGAGTTGAAAAAGAAAGTTTTGTCCGCGCTGCCGTTGAGACATACTACTTGAAATTAGGAGCTGGTTACATCGTCATTGAGTCATTCTACGTCCTCGTTTCGTTTCATTGCAGGTAAAGGGTGTAAAAAGTGTAGGGGGGTGTAAAAACTTAGCCTATCGCATCCTAGCGGTCGTCATACATAAGTATACAATTCCATATTTATATTTAATTCTATATTTATATTTAACACTCTTGATAAATGGTTGAAATATTCAATTGCCACGAGAGCCATAGATTGAAGGAAGGAAGGATATTTAACACTCTATCTTGCTATGCCAATTGAGATTTATTACGTTCTTGACTTATCAATAAAAACAGTGGCGACTCGTAACGGAGATTTTGGAACTACATTTCTAAACTGTTATGTAGCGTCATCTGACCGTGTCGTGCACGAACCTATTAGAAGCGTGGTTTGAGTCTTGGCTAAGTAAAGGAATCTTAATTAAATTAATTTTATTAGTCCAAAATGAAAGATATATGCTAAAATAATTGACGAACTTCAATGGAAAAGTGCTTTCACTTGAACTTCATGAATGTGAGTGCGGTGTTACTAATATTTTCATTCTGTTAAAATCCTTCTTTATACTTATCTAGGTTGCATTCCAAAACGTTCTTTTTGAGGAAAATTTTACTCGATATTACGTTACATATACTATAGAGTATCGAGTAAAATTTCCTCAAAAAGGACGTTTTGGAACGCAATCCTAATAGATCCAATAAATCCACTGATATAAGAGAGAATCATTATGAAAACGTGTTGCAAATATAAATCATATTTATTTCTTCTTCTTATAGCTTTCCATTAGAATGTTGTAGTTTCTAAGATGTTTCAAGCCGCGTGCGGCAGAAATCCATTATCAACAGCATGTACTATCACATCTGCTAATCTTTGTCTTCCACTTGCCGTCTCAATATTGACAAATTCTGCCACCTCAGCGAGATCTACAGCTTCGTTGCTTTTGAACACGCTATCCAGATCAAACGACGCAGGTACTTCCATTAAACTCAACGGAATAATTTCCAGTGCGGCAACGATACCAAAGATGAATTGCTCCTTCACCTAGAATTAATATCGACGTCACATATATATTGGTTTATTTTCTTTATAATCTAAATATAAGTTTCCATAATATGTAAAGAGCATATATTTTACCTCCTTCATAAACAAGTCCCATGGATAGATGTTCTCCGGGTCAGACCCGAGCAATGTGATAGCACTACATAACTCTGAATGATACATCTTTAATATTTCGTCAAAATATTGATCTCGAAATGATTTTAGAGTGCATGAATAAACGAAGAATGCCAAGTCCGTAATGGGACTGGCGCAGCGGGAGAGCTGAAAGTCTAGCATCAACGCTTCCTTCAGATTCTGCCCGACGTCCCGAACTAGGAAATTCGGCGCCCAACAGTCACCCTCACACACGACAGATGTGGGAGCATCTTTTCTGCTACATAATTCTGTGCATTTATCATAGAGAATACTGGATTTGTAAGAATTGAAGTATTTTTCGGCCTTGCTACCGGGATACTCGGTGGCTAACGCGTGTTTGGCTACCTTCAACAAGCTTTTCTGCAAAAAACCGAGTTTATTTAAATAAATTCGTTTGATGAAATAATTACAGTGGGCGTGATTCATTACTTACAAGATAATTTTTGTACCAATTCCAGTAATTCCTGCTGAAGATGGCTTCTTCTAAACGACCTGCAATCTCCGCGAATTCCTGTTTCCTTTGGTCCTTATAAGCGAAGGAGGTCGCGTGAAATTTAGCCATCGTCTTCAAGATCACCGTGCACTCCGCCCAGTCTAAACAATTCTGTCGCGACGCCGGTCCAAATCCCAAGCACGTGGCGTCCTCCAAGGCCAGGAAGTCGTTTTCACCGTCCGTCAACGAGGCCAAGTGACGCGGTATGCGCAGAAAATTGCTCTGTCCTTTGCCTGCTAAGAATTCCTCGAATCTGGGCGCGACCTGTGGAACACAGAACAAACATTAGAAATGGATTTAGAAGTGCAGAAAATACATATCTCTATTACGTAAGTGTAATACAAATATTTTCTTTCGAGCGAATAAAGCACACGTTTGTCGTATATTCTCGAGAGTCTTACCTCAGTGTAAAAAATAATCTCGTTGCGAAAGAAGTCCGTAGATCGTAAAGTCTTCCTTCGACCGACATTTTTCGGCATCGCCTTTACGATAAAATTCACCTGCACACGTTGTTGCCCCAGGCTGTCGTCAATAATGCCGTTCACGCTGCCCTTATTGATGCTGGAAGTGTAGTAGTCGCCTTTAGCGAAGCCCTCGTCAAAATTCCAATTTATCAGTCGCACTTCTTCTCCGTCGTCACAGGCCTTGGAGAGAATGTTCGTCAGCACCTCTTCCGTGAACTTGTCGCTCACTATGCTCAGATCAATGCACTTCTCCTTCGGCTGGGCCATTGTTCCGCTCGTCGTGACAGTACGCCCACGAGTTGATAAAAATTTGCTATTACTTGCAAATATTGGTGCTTTTGTTTTATTTAATACGATTTTTATACGTGTGAAATGCGCGCCTTGTCAAAACACATGCAGAATTCTAAAAACAATATTAATATTAATATATGTATTTATTCCAACTGATGAATCAATAACAGATATTTTTGCAACTATACCGAGACTTCGGAGCGAAGTAACGTAACTCTGCTTGCAACTCACATAGTTCTTATCGCGTCAAGTGTGCAATCTTATCGGAACCTTCGGACACTGTTATATTCGAAAATAAAGAACTTATGATTGGCAATGAGCACTATATCGGGGAATATGTTACAACGATTTATAGGGCGCACGTAAATTCTGATTTTTCACTTGTCAAGAAAGAAATATTAAGCGCGCGATATCGAGTGCGCATGTACCATACTCGGTTACTGAACGGTGAGCGCATACTTTTCCGAATGAAAGTGGCAGTGTTGATTGTCACAATTGAGAGACATTACTGACGCGTTTGCGCAGTAATCGCAGCCTTACCGGTTACGAGAGAAAACGAAGTGACAATGTATAAGACGTCCAACGTCACAATCGCAATGGAAGATTCGGGGAAAACTTTAATATCTTTATTACATACTTGTCTATCAAGAGTGTAATAAAGGGTCAATACTTACATCGTGTACCTTCGCTTCGGCTTCTGCCAAAATCGATTGCCACACAAATGCGCCAGCAGTGTCTCTCAACTGTGACAATCGGGAGCGCTGAGACTTCATTCGGAAAAATGTATGCCCGATGTTCAGTAACCAAAGTCGCATTCCAAAACGTTCTTTCGAGGAAAATTTTACTATAGCATCTATAGTATGTGTGATGCAAACTATAAGTTTCAGTAAAATTTTCCTCGAAAGAACGTTTTGGAATGCGACCCGAGAGTGAACAGAACAGGAATGTCGGGAAGTAGTAGTAATAGTAGCAGTAATAGTAGTAGAACAATAAAACAAAATCATAATATGGATACATAACTAACACAATTATATTTGTATATTACAATATAAAATTTGTTTAGGAAACCTAAATTCGGGAAAGTTCTTTTTTTTGTCGTTTCATTTAGCGCGCGTGTGTAGAGCCACGAGATCTTCAACACTTCAATCTACGCGTATATCAATTAAGACGTCAAATCTCATAAAAAAGAAATAATAATAAAACAATATAAAAGAGAAAAGAAACGAGAAATACGTTTGAGGCATTGCACCTTGGCATTGCGTCGAAGAGAAGAACATTTTATGATTGAAAAACTCGCGTTTGAAAGACAGACGTGAGACATTTCGCAAAAAAAGCTTTTATTTACAGTTGTGTTTCGGTTCGTTTAGCGCCTAGATAAATTTATATAATTGCAATAAAATCCCACACACAAATCGATCTCGCACTCACACCGATCACTTGTCGTGGAATGTATTTCGCATTAATAAATACAGCTTCTGAGACAAATTAAAATACAAGTCTTGCGCGTCCCTTGCTCTCTTCCCGCTTCGTCCCTCATTCATCTTTCTTTCTTTTTTTTTTTTTTTTTACAATCGAGAGGCGTGTAAATTTCAGTGCGCGCTGGACAGAAAACCGGAATCCCGGATTCCGTCATAACAGTAGATTCACTCACGAGACGAGCCCGTACACCTTATTTACAATATTCATATATAAACATATACATTGCGACCGCTTAAACCTATCGATATACGAAGTGAAAGGTAAAAAGTACTATTTTGTACCTTAGACTGTCTGACAAATAAAGTTAAAATGCTGGCCTGTGTGTGTCTGTGTGACGTTAAATCGCACTTATGTCAATCTATTCTACAACGGGTAATAGCATGTTCTCCTTCATCTCAGAGTGTCTCTCTTTCTCTCTCGTTATTTTCCTTCGTTTCATTAAAATGTAATAAATCATTGACATCAGAATCGCGACTCGCCTCTTAAGAACTTAACGGCTAAAAACTTAAAAGGTAAACATCCGAAATTCATAATTCCTAGTCTTAGTTATCGCTAAACTGAATCGCACTAAATTGGACTGAGTGATAAATTATCGTCGACTGTACAGGTGCCGCTTTCAGCTTGACAGAGAATCACATCATGTAATAAGTCTCGGAACACACACCCGTGTCGGAGTCGCGAGTCGCGGAGCAGTGCCTTCTTCCGAGAGAGTTCTATCAGTTTTATGTTGGCTTTTAAGGTTTGGACCTCGCGCGCGCGATTTTTCGTAAAAAATATACACCTCCTGCCGGTTGGTCGCGTAAAGCTGCCTGATGATGATGATGATGATGATGATGATGATGAAGATGACGATGACGACAATGATGATGACGATGATGACGGTGATGACGATGACGATGATGATGATGATGACGACGAAGTAACATCGAATCCACGAGAAGTCTCAACGAAAGGGGGAATAAGTACCGGTCGATCGATCGGGCGATTACTCGAGCAGTGCTTCAACGACTTATCATACCGCGACTACATCGTTAAACAACGAGCGTTAGGATCATCAAAAAACCGCCATTCGTCGTAAGTCTCTCTTTCTCTGTCTATTACGCGGTAGCGAATAATATAACTAGCAACATTTCTTTTCCCTCTTTTTCATTTGCCAAACAACAACACGTCGTTAACATGTCTCACGAGACGAGATTAGAACCGATTTGAAAGTCCACTCGTTTCCACCCAAATACGTTCTTCCACAGCCGGCGGTATTCGGTGTACCTCTAATAGTTCGAACGTAAAAACCGAACGTAAGCGTTTCTCTCTCTCTTTCCCTCTCTTTCTTTCTCTACGTACTTCGCGCGTGTCGAGACATATTATTTACTTCTGGCTCTTTTATCTCTCTCATATTTTTTTTCTTCTTTTCTCAATCACATGAATCTTAATAAGTACCAAGTGCCCTAATGTAAGATCAAGTTTCAATATACCCTGAAACTACCCACATAACCAGGTAGAGGAACCCCAAAAACGAGTTCGCCGTATACGTTTTACTCGCTTCTTCTTCTTTTTTTTTTTTATCGAGAGGATCGAAATAAATATTTATTTAGGTATCGCACGGCGGAGGCTTGGCTCGGACGTCGATGCGAAAGCGGTAGAACGGGAATGGCAATTAGGTGTCTATACACAAGGACATATCTTACATAGAGTACGAGATAAAATTAGTTTCTCGAGTTTAGACCGAAGTTTGCGAGGGGCGACGACGATATCCCGCGAGTGTCGATATATACTATGTTTCACCGACGACGATCAATTACGTCTGCAACAGAACAGAACGATGGGTTATAATAATAACACATCACTCGTGGCCTCGTAAATCGAATTGAACAGCGCGGCGTCGCTGCTAACGTGAACAAAATCATCTCGTTCGCCGATATGTTTAACAATTTCTCTTCCTCTCTTTCCCCTTCTCCCGGATATCACTCATCGTTACGTACGAGTGTACATGAGTATGGAATTCTATCAATTATATTTATATATATATATATATATATATATATCTCCCTCTCTTTTACTCTTTCTCTCTCTCTATATATATATACTTTCCAATTATAATCTCAAACGTTTCGAGAGACATCATCGTCGAGACGTTTCGATTGTAATCGAAGTAGGAATACTTCGCGGTAATATAATTGCCCTAATAAAACATAATAACGCGACAAGAACCCCGAGGTTTGGTAGACCCTCTCCGCGTCTTCGCAAGATCAAACAGGACGAAAGACCTCCCCCCATCCTTCCCCCTCTGCTTCGAGTAATAGACGTAATTATTTTACTTTCGTCGTGACCTACCGAGTCAACGAGGAATCGCGTTCTATTGATCGCGCGTGTTGGCACAGCCCTTTACGTGTTGTTGTAAAGCTGATGGTGGGTCTGATGCTGACTCGGATGCGAGTGCTGCAGCGAATGCTGGTGCTGGTGGGGATGCTGATGCTGCTGCGGATGCCTCGCGTTGTATCTGACGCTACCGGCGAGTGAGCTACCCCTGCCGTGAGTGCCGACCATGCTCTGCGTGTCGGACAGCTCGTCCTCCTCGGCGCCTAGACTCCGGAACCTAACGAAACCATCCTCGGCGACTAGCATCGTCGAGCCGCTGGTCGGAGCCTGCTCGTGTAGGCCTTGAACGGGCGTATGCCTGCCGCGAGTCTCGGAGTTCCTCAAGGTCTGTATGCCATTGCCATGGCGACTCAGGGAACCCCGGCCTTCGTGAGGGAAGTGGCCCATCGTACCTGACTTGCGAATGGAATGTCTCTCGAAGGTACCTACGTGACAAACGATCGTCAGTTTCCTTTGTCCGAGGATACAAAATAAATTTCACGGAACGAACCTTACTTTTTCTTCGCACGCGTCGCGAGGACACGTGTGCGCGTGCCTTGACGCGGCGCGTGTGAAAAAAGAAACATAAGCACGTCGACAAATTTTTGCTGTAGTTCCGCGAATAAGAGAACTCGTGATACAAAAAGGTTCTCAGTAGTAAATACGACAAAAAAGGAAAAAAGGATAAGAGAGAATCATGGGATACCTGATATGTTCAAGTGCTCGGGCAGAGTGTTCAGCGGGAAGCTGTCGTCGTAGACCTGCTTGCCCGTTCTCATGGTGTAGTTCTGTATCGCCTGATTGGTGCTGCAGATCGCTGGGTACAGCACGTCGTCCATGTTCTCCGTGGATGTGGAACTGCCGCAGGGGAACAAAGCGAAGCCCGAATGGGCCGAGTGTTGTTGCATCTGTTTCTCGCGCAAAGGGTATTGCGACAAACTGGCAACCCACGCCAGGAGACCACACACCGACAGTTCCAGCACTCTGACGGAGAACTGCCAGCCCCACCACAGCCAGGGATACGGCTGTGGTCGCTCTTGCACGCCGAATATTCCGTACAGCTGCACAAGACCCATGAGAATGAAGAGCAACGCGATGGCGATGGTGGTGGTGATCGCGGTGCTGAGGGCTACTGTGGTCGGATCGGCGCCCGCCATCATGTGATTCGCACCGGCCGCCTTGTTGCTGGCTATGTGAATCTGTGAGCGCACCACGCGGTACACGTAGACGTAGCAGAGGCCCAGAGTCACGCACACCACGATGTAGATGCACTGGCAGACCAGCGGCAAGATCCGCGCCTCATCCTGGTAACCGAGCACGTGCGTGGACACGTGCAGGGAGACGCACAAGACTATGTGTACGGTGGATGATAACACGAGTGTGGTGGGCGAAAGGATGCTGTTGTTGAGCGAAGGCGCCTCGGAGCACCGCGCGAGGTAAAGCACCAGCGTGGCGAAGGCGGTCGACAGCAACGGCGCCGGCAGGTACATCAGCACCCTGGACAATGGCTCGGGCAACGAGTGGCCGAGATTGTAGGCGTCGTAGAAAAGGTGGAAACACCTGAGCGTGCAGACGGTGGTCAGCAGCAGGTGCACGGCGAGGAAGTACGACTGCGTGAGCAGATTCGTCGCTTCGTTGAAGCGCACGATCTTGTAGATCGAGAAGAGCGCCATGAGGGTGAACGTGATCGCGGCGAAGTACACGTGCAACGACCAGGCGATGCGCCACGACTCCAACGGATTCTGCGTGTCGACGTGCGACACCAGACGGTCGTCGTCGTCCGCGGCGGCGTTCGGTCGCTTCGACGTGGGCGCTGGCGGTTGCGCCTGCGGATACGGCAACCTCTCCGTGTCCACGATCTCGATACTGTCGGTCTTTAGACCATTGTCGTTTCGCAGGCCGCCGTGGTAGCCGCCGTCGTCATCTTGTCGACCGGTGTTCGGCAGATTGAAGATCGTTGGCTGCGTGACGCTCTTCGCCGCGGCATCCGCGGCAGTGCTGTTAGGAGTCCTCGACGTGGTGGTGCTGGGCGCTTGAGTGGTCCGGTCGGTACTAGGCGCTAAGGGTACACTCGGCAATGGACTTTTCGTGGCCAGCGGTTTCAGGAGTATATCGGGAATATCCTGTTTCCTGCCGTTGCTGCCGGATAGGATCCTCGAGATACTGGGATAATGAAGAGTCACGAACTCGTTCGTGCTGTTCCTCGTTCGCTCGGACGTATCCGCACTCCCGGACTCTGCGGGGCTCCTCTGCTGTTCCTTGCCGCCGAACGCGCCTCCGTTCGCCAACGGTTTGTTCCGAGTGTTGTGCGAATGCCTCTCGGGCGCCTCCTGCGAAGGACTCTGAGGTAGATCCGGCGGCCGTATGGGTATCCTCTCGTGCGCCGGTGTTAGACTGGGCGGTGGCATCGGTCTCCTGTTGCCGGCGTGCACGTCCGAGTTGGTGCCGCGCAACGTCGGCTTGTCGGCGAAGGGGTGCAAATACTCCGGAGGTAATGGCGGTGTGAACAGCGCTCTGGAGGGTGGCGCATATGACGGCAGGTCGCGGAAGATGGGCGACGCAGTGGCCCTGGGCGCGGGGTACCTGGCCGCCGGTAACGACGGCCCAGCCGGCGTGGCGGCGGTGGTGGTGGTGGTCGTGCTGGTGGTCAACGGCGACGGCACCGTCGACAGGGTCGTGCTGGCCGATACTTGAGCGTCGTACGCCGGCACGCTGCGCTTTGTGGTCGCGGAGCTGTGCGCCACCTTGTTGAAGATCGCCGCCAAGTTCTTCTCCAGCGCGGTGTGATCCAAGTTGAAGATCGGACTGTTGGGCCCGCCGTCGCCGCTCGCCGTGCACACACTTGAGCGGAACAGCAGCAGCACGGCCAGCAGCAGCGGGAGAAGCGGCAAACGCGACCGCATCCTTCTTGAGGTCATGACGACGCTCGACATCGTGCCGGGGGAGATGATCGTGGACACCTAGACGCCCTGTACGGGCATCGGTTCATTCCATAACAGGCTCCGCCGCTTCACCACGACGACGATGTTGACGATGGCGAAGAGAGGCAACCTGAAGCCGTAAGGACACTTGTTAGGACGACGAGTCTTCTCGGTCGATCTGTGTGTATTCCAATGATCAGTGTGCTCGTCCTCTCCTCCTCTCCTTCTCCTTTCGTCTTCTGATCTCGACTTCAAAGATTTACTTTACACACACACTCTCTCTCTCTCTCTCTCTCTCTCTCTCTCTCTCTCTCGGGGAATCCCCGTGTCACATCTCCGGGATCGCCAGCAGTGTCTTTCTCGGTCTCTCTATCTGCCGCGATCGCGCTGACATCCGGCAGCACACGTTTTACACTTATCTGGCAGTGATTTCGCGCGCGGTCGATCCGCTCTCTTCTCCGAACACTGTCGGTGATATACGCGAGAGAAAATTCCGTGCGACGGACGGGAAAGGGGGAAACACCCAGTGTGTGCCTTCGCTGTGCGACTGCTTATACTCTGTGTCTACATCTTCGCGGCCGCCAGGCCGCGGACGAGTCCTCTCTCTCTCTCTCTCTCTCTCTCTCTCTCTCTCTCTCTCTCTCTCTCTCT